TAGTGCAGAATATGAATGGAATTGGTCATAACCTTGAATCAAACCTCAGATTCCTAATATACTTAATTTCTCATATACCCACTATATTAATTAAATTTAGACTCTACAATATTAAGTTTATATCATTTGAGTTAATTAACTTGATGAAACTGCGCACCACACAGTGACTCGTTCTAGGTAAAGTTCCGTCTCGTGGATTATTTCTGGATTTGATTCACTCCATATACGGCAATTTTGCTTGTTTACATTTCCGTTTAGATCAAAAGGTTCCTCATCAGACATATGGTGCCGCTGCACTATCTAAACCCTCTTTCCGGTATCCCAAGCATTAATTTTTAAAAGATTTAAATAATGAGCCGCTCAATATACACCAAAAACTAATCGAGATAGAAATATAATTATACTTATATACATAATCAGGATAACGAATTGAGCTAAATTTTGTCTGTCGGTTCGTCCGTACAAGCTATAACTTGAGTAAAAATTAATAGATTGGTATTGGTGATGAGCGGAATCGGATCATTGCCACATCCACAACCTGCAGTTAATGGAATACTTAAAAGGTGCCAGGTTCCATACAGGAGTACTTAGAAGTAAGGAGCCTCTGTGGGCTGACATTTTTTAAAAAGTTATAGGGATAATGTAAATATCTCACAAACCATACGAGCTGTATCAACCCAACTTGCGTCATTGGTAACAAAATAAAATTTGTACACAAAGCATATTTAAGATTTGCGTTTTCACGACCAAACATAATCGAATATGTGGACCTCAGTACCTATGGCTGACTTTTTACCAAAAATATCTTTCAATCTCTGAGGTACCTTACCTAAAGTCAGAGATCATCTTTTCTGGAAATAAGATATCGGCATGCCAAAAATGGATGACATCGGTTCAATACTTTCTCTAGCCCCTATTCCTAATAGAAAAATTTTCGAACGTCAGGTTGAGTTTATACCGTATATATCGGCGTATATGTTTAAAATGGATACGATTGGGACCATATACCTAATATACGAATTTTAAACTTCCTGTTGAATTTATAGCGAATATATCGGTCCATTAGTAAGATGTCTTAGCACAATTAAGTTCACTTATAATCCAATATTATACTATACTGCTCCTTAATTTCTAAAATGTATCACACACACATTTTATTAAAATTAAGTAGATTTCAAAATAATGGGGTTAGTGTTGAATATGACTCGAATTGGGGTAGACTTTGGCCTAAACCTCATATCTCTAATGTAATGAATTCCAATTATTGGGTAATTCATAATTAATGTTGAATTCTAATCAGGGTTGCGAATTTTTTTAGGCAAAAATTTGGGATCAATAATTAAATTTTTATATTTTAATCCCGATGTTGGGGTTTTTGTATTTTTTAATACGGTAGTTGGCATTAAAAATTCAAAAAAAAATATTTTTTATCCGGTTTTTTGATTAAACAAATTTTTTTTTTATTTTTTAATCCGGTTTGTGGGATTAAATTTTTTTTTATCCCGTATTTGGAGTTACAAAAAAAAATTTATTTAAACTATTCAACTATTTTTTAATGCACTATTTATAACCCTGATTCTAACTCAACGTTTTTATACCCAGAATATGTTATATTTACCACTAAGTAAACGTCGAAGATCCTATAAAATATGTATATAAAGTAGTTCCTCAGTTTTCTATATATCGCGGAACCGCTGATATCGGATCACTATAGCAAACTGAACCGTCAAAATCAAGTTCTTGTAAAATATTCCCATAAAAACATAAATCAGAGGTTAGAGAGTGGCTAAAGTATTCTATATAGGTATGTACGTTGCGTGTTTGTGGCATCTGTTTTCGGCTTTAACGATTGAAAGCATTTTGTTGTTGTTTGTCGGCAATTTTGCGGTCGATTCTTGATCAGCATGCAGAAAGTGGCGTATTGTTATTGACATCTGACGGACGCGAGCTGTTGGCTGACTTCCGTCGTCAAACGTCAGTGGGCCATTCGAGCGAGGCAGACACGCCCGCTGGATTTACTCGTTTTGCTGCCACCGTGAGGCCAAAAGTCAAGTGAATTTGTTCTGCAGCTAACACAAGCAAATCCCATCCATTGCATTGGTATTGCGCGATTATGATGGTTATTGTTATAATAACTGTATTTGTTCGTACGGCTTTTTTCGTTGTTTTCCTTTCTATTTTAAATTGTTCCACACTTAAGCAGCCTTATCAGAATTTCAATAACCGCAGGCTTTGCTGCCGCTTTCTTTTCACGCGCTCTGCCTTTTGACATTCTCCTCTGTATGTTTGCTTATGATTTTTTTTGTTCGTTTTTATTATGCAGGCTAAGCCTTGATCGTAAATGATTAAAATACGAGTTAAGTACTTTGAAGCTTGTTAAGGATTCCGGGCAAGTGTGAACCCCAATGGCGAATAAAAAATGTTGAATTAAACGTGCCGTAATTTTTTTATGTCAAAGATTTAAGACTTGCCTTTTTCACTGTAGTTGTATTTGCCATTCCATCCTTGGCGCCTCTTATTTGAAGAATGCGTTTACAATAACAATACTTGTACAAACTTAAGACAGCCTAAGGATACATTATTAGTGAAATCCCCCTTGAAGATATGTGAACTTGGAGACAAATATTGTATGTATGTAAGTTGTCGATGAGGTCTGCTTGTTAACACTAGAGTAAATTGTTGACATTAACAATCAGGGTAAAATTGAGCTAATTTCGATAGACACCTTAACCAAGCCGTATGTATGTACATATATATAGTATGTGGGTTATGATATAGTTACATACTTCAGTAGGAATGATTATATTGGATTTAATAATTTCCTGCCTCCAAAAAGAACTTATCAGTGTACTACTACTATATATGAATGGAAGGTGCTTTTTTCGAAATGAAATTCATATTTTACTTATCAGAGAGTTCAGCACCCATCAGGATGGTTCATAGATGGTTTTTGTGATCACCTAAGTAAAATAATCTGCAAGACTTAGTCAATATCACATTTATACACCTCTGTTTAATTGCTGTCTAACACTACATGCATGGGATGCAATCAAAACGAAAACGTAGCTCTTAGTATAATTAGTATTAGTACCTGGTACAATTACTATTAGCCCTGGCATACTTTACTTTCGTCGACGCTTAATTCTAAATGCTTCTTTGCAGGGTTCTTACTGCTTTCGTTGCAATCCAAACCTATGATAATAGAAAATTTATATTCCTTCCATTCAATACTAAATTAAATTAAATCAGTTCAGTCCTTTTCCAAGGCAGACATACATATGTAGGCAATTGAATTCGGCGCGTCATTTTGATATAGTTAGTCTTGCCATAAATTCTGTTACAAAGTTTACAATGCATACAGCGAGAACAAAAAAAAAAGTGCCTTGATTTTGTATTATAATTTGTATGCAGTGTCTACTCTTATATATATAATAATTAGTTCAGTGCAGGGATAAATTTAACTCTGGTTCAGTATTTGCTTTCGCTTAATAACAATGGAGTGGGTAGACAGTGCAGTGATAGCTTTACATACGCGTGGAACAAGTGCTAGTGAAATATATAAGCTTTTTATACCCTGAACAGGGTATATTAATTTTGCCACGAAGTTTGTAACACCCAGAAGGAAACGTCGGAGACCATATAAAGTATATATATAAATGATCACCGTGACGAGCTGAGTTGATTTAGCCATGTCCGTCTGTCTGTCCGTCCGTCTGTATATACGCGAACTAGTCCCTCAGTTTTTGAGATATCGATCTGAAATTTTGCACCTGTACTTTTCTCACAAAGAAGCTGCTCATTTGTCGGAACCGCCGATATCGGATCACTATAGCATATAGCTGCCATACAAACTGAACAATCGGAATCAAGTGCTTGTATGGAAAACTCTTTCATTTGACGAGGTATCTTCACGAAATTTGGCACGGATTATTAGTTAAGGCAACAATGTAATCTCCGAAGAAATTATTCAGATCGGATGACTATAGCATATAGCTGCCATACAAACTGAACAATCGGAATGAAGTGCTTGTATGGAAAACTCTTTAATTTGACGAGGTATCTTCACGAAATTCGGCATGTATTATTATTTAAAGCATTATTCTAATCTCCGAAGAAATTGTATGGATCGGATGACTATAGCATATAGCTGCCATATTAACTGAACGATCGGAGTAAAGTGCTTGCATGGAACATTTTTTAATTGACGAGATATCTTCACGAAATTAGGCACGAGTTATTCCTTAAGGCAACAAATTATTCTCCACAGAAATTGGTCAGATCAGATCACTATATCATATAGCTGTCATACAAATTGAACGTTCGGAATCACGTTCTTGTAAGGGGCCTTTGTTTTTGTGAAGGGTATTATAGCTTCGGCGCAACCGAAGTTAACGTTTTTTCTTGTTAATATTTCAACAATGTTGGTTTACCGCAGTTTTCTCGTATGTCTACAGTTGGGGACAGAAAGACAAGTGGTCGTCCTCGCGTGGTTTGAACCAATTCAGCCATAAAAACTGTTGGCAAACGCATTTGTAGAAATCTCCTTAGAAAATAGTCAAAAGAAATGTATATATCGACCAGATCAATGACAAGACTTATTCGAAATGATCTCCACATGAACGCCTGCTATCGGTCAACTGAAGATCTTTTGACAACCCAATTGAAGCAAATTAGGCTCAGTAGATGAAAAATTGTTCAAAAATTGTTGAAGAAGTTTTTAATAAACAAATCGACAAAATCAGAGTAGCTGAATCGCTGTATTATCGTTTAATGTTTATAACGTCCTGACCTTGTAACAGAACTTATGGCAGTATTAAATATATTAATTTTTATCAGTTACTTTATGTATTATCTGCATTCGCCAAACAAAATCAACTTGCGAAATAACGGACACCCTAATGTACATAGACTTATATTTAGTATCATGAATGTATTTAATTGCGTACATATGTATATGAACGAAATTATACACTTACAATTGCATTTATATCGTTATAAAGTCGTTCAGGCTGCACGTGCCTTCAAAATCTTCGCTGTAGCCGACGCTGCGAAAGACCTGTGTGTCAATATTTACGACAAGTTTGGCTTTAAAACTTGTTTTTAATGAAAAATACTTCATTAAAAAAATAATTTTTAAGCACATTTTTGAATGAAGAAAAATCGAAGGAGATGATTATTATAATAAACAAGTGGTAGGAAACCAACGCGGAGGATATCAAAATATATTTCAGCTCGAGCGTAAAGTACCGAAGTGGGAGTGACTGAAAGTTTGTGCGCAACAAACACTTGGTTAGCTTTGTGTGCTACGTAAAATTTCATGGCGCCAAAGTGGTAAGTTACCCTTTAATCAGATTCTATTTATTTACACCAAATGTACAAGTGTGCCATCCCTCCCTTTATCTACGTCGACAGCATTGGTGCCAGCATCGGGAACACTGACATCAAACATTATAACAATAACAACTATACTTCAATAGCACTTTTTATATGTAAAAGGTAGCCACCCTGATTTAGAAATCGAAAGAATGATATTTTAAAATTTCAAGTAATTGAATAATTTTCATTAATTTATAAATTATATTGTCTAGAAGTGGACAATGTGGAAGTAAGCAATGCACTTAATTTTAGGAATATATTCAGTAATTCTTTAACCCATGTATGTATATACCTATTTAATTTTTAGATTCCTATAAATATGATGAATTATATGAATACGAGATCTAAGTTTCCGTAGCTCACGTCAAGTGACTCTATAAACTAGCAAGACAGGGTGTGTCTTCTTTTTTATTGTCATTAAGGTAAACATGGAATTGTTTTGGTATAATATTACCAATTAAATTGTTCTTATGTACATATAAATGGTATGTATATTTTGTAAACCTCAATTCAGTATAATTCAGCCATCAACTAAAACAATCAAGAAAAAAGAAAAAAACGTTACCTTCGGTTGCATCGCAGCTATGTAGATTTTCACAACCAAAAATGTTTCTATACATGAACTTGATTTTGATCAGCTCGTATTATATGCTATAGTGGTCCGATCTAAACAGTTTGTTCGGAGACTATTTCGTTGATTTGGATAATTACCGAAGCCGAAACTCACGAAGATATCTCGTCAAATAAAAAAAGTTTTTCTTACAATTACTAGACTTGATCAATCAGTTTGTTTGCTATATGCTATAGTGGTCCTATATCCTGACAAACTGAGGGACTAGTTTACTTCTATACAGACAAACATACGGACGTGGCTAAGCAAACTCATCTCGTCACACTGATCATTTATATACAAGTATTTACATATATTTTATAGGATTTTCTTGTGGGGGTGTTTAGGGCATAAAAAGAAACGCATTATAATAAAAATGTTTGTTTAGTTGTATTAACTCAACGGGCAACAGTATTAAACAAAATTTTATTATTGGGGAAAACAAAATTCATTCAAGATCCAGGAAACACCCCTAATTATACAAAAGTGATTGTTATCCAAAACAGATCTGCGCGAAAATCATCATTGTTCTATATTTTTTTTAAACAAAACGAAACCGTCGATAGATGTCGATATCGATGTCTGCTCGCTAACGCTTGAAAAAGGTCGGCTCACCATGTCTCACTATAAATATAACGACCTGATTCTTCAACAAAAACCATCTAGACGACAGATGTCGAAAAAGATGCGACATTGACCAGTCACACAGATCCCCAGATTAGACGTGACTTCTTCTTCTTCATTTTTAGGTTTCCTTTTTTGAGTCAGCAATCGTCGGAGCTTTGCTAAGATCAAAGCAAACATTTGCTCCGAAACAACCGTTATACACTGAGCTGCTCGAAATAGTAATGGAAATGCAACATAAATTTTCTGTGGCTAACAAGTACTCTTCCACTCTAGATTTCATAACTATAAAATTAATTCGTTGACCAAAAAGCTGTTAAATTTTTTTTTCAAACTGGCATCACCGTCATCTCCATCTTCACCCCCCACAGTGCCTTTCAAATGGCTTTGACAGCAGGAAAGGCCCGCAAAGTATCGTCACAATTTTATGTATTTATTTACACACGATAACACAAATGCATATATACTATTACATTTCAGCACATACATATATACATACATATATCGTAAATATTTATATGTTTGTAAATATACGTTAGATGGTATATATTCGCGCAAGCTTTTAAATAAACATACTCACTTATGAATAAGCTTATTTTACCACTAATGTGTTAAGTAATATAGACACACATACATATTCACCGATTTACCCATATTTATACATATTTACATATAACTTACATATAATATTACACATACATATGTGGATTGATTATTTGCAAAACTACGAGTATATTGGCTAAATAAAATTGCTTCCAATAGACTCCACAATGCTTTAATAATATAATAATAACAATAACTGATATGTATGGTGTACCAAAACTTATTGAAGACATGGCTTTCTTCAACGTACTGACAATCGAGTTTTAAAAACAAGTCGGTACCATCTTCAACGACGTATATTCATAATTTATTAGACATTAAAACAAAAACAAGAAAAAATGTTAACTTTGCCTGAATCGAAGCTATAACACGCTTCACAGATGCATTTAAACCATAAAAGATAACTTGTCAAATAAAAAAGTTTTCCATACAAGGGCTTAATATTGACCGATCAGTTTGTATAGAAGCCATATCCTATAATAGTACGATATCGGCGGTTCCGCCCAATGCGCAGCTTCACGGGGTTAGAAGGACGTGTGCAAAATCTCAGATCGATATCTCGAAAACTGAGGGACGAGTTCGCGCATATACAGACGGAAAGTCAGACATGGCTAAATCGGCTCAGCTCGTTACGCTAATCATTTACATGTATATATATAATTTATAGGGTAACTGACGTTGCATTCTGGGCAAACGTATTGCGGTTTCTTTTCTCGCTAACGCTTACGTCGTAAGAAGAGCAGAAAATTTTGCACTTTTTTCAGGTTAGAAGGCAACATTCTGAAAAAAGAACAAACAACTTCGACAGTTCGGGCATAGGGCAGAATAAATGTAAAATTTTTGTGAGAAAAAACGCTATTAATGTACCCTGTTCAGGGTATAACAAGATATCTTTAATTTTGAGAGACAATCATATGCTGGACCGATATAGTTTTACTGTCTCTTACTTTGATAATTTTGATTATTTTTATCTATTCCTTGTAGCTTTGATAACTGAGAACGGGGAATAAGTCTTAAGAATACAGTAGCTGCGGACGCAATACCAAGCACAATTCACACATCCTTGCCACCGAATTTATTCATATGTGACACACTGGATTGTCTTGAGTAATTTCTTCAAATAGGACCGATTTGTCAAGAGCTCTCCCTTCAGTCTTCTTCCTCTTTTTAAGATGGTAGACGAAATTTACTTTACCCACATTCAAAAATATGGACGTTAAAATTTGTTCAGTTCTCAAATGACTGTTGATTGAACTCCGAAGTGAAATGATGGAGTCAATTTTCATTAGCTCCACTGCTGAGAATTATAAATTCTCTGTATGTTTTTTATGGATTGAGAGCTCGCCGGACACTGAATGTGACTAGAACTTTCACATAACCGAATATTCATGAACAATGTGTCCATCTTAAGAGAGTCAACAATCTGAATTAAGAATGCCAACAAAATCAAGGAAGGACCAAATATGTAAGAATTTCCCAAGAGAAGTTGGAAGCGTCTTGCATTAATCTACACAGAGTTCTGCTATAACTTCGTAAGATTTGCTTGCGGGGCTTAATGGTCCGTAGGAATATTTCTGCGTTCGACTTTAAACCTACCTCATTCGGGTATGTAATTCTGTCAGAATTTACATATGTATTGTACATAAGTATATAGAAACACATACCTAGTTGTGTTCAATTTGTTGCTTTTTGTCTTTGAAACAAACTTTTGCAAAATATTTGTACTGCATTTGCGCGCTTCTTGAGGCTTGATTCATTTTTAGGCTTACAAATGGCTCCGCAAACAGACATATGTATAGTACATAAATACAGACAAACATACATACATATGTACATTCATGCATGGATAAATGCGTAAATATTTATTGCTTCTTTAATTGTTTTGAGTTTTTATGGATTCAAACAAAATTAAATGGAAGCCATCAAAGTACAGCATAATCAAAGCTGTCTTCTATTACACATCCTTGTGCATAAGACCAGTTGTACACACATATGCACGTAATGTATGCACTCTAGATGTATGGTATATAATTATGTGAGTATTATGAGAACTGGACTTTTTGCTTTAAAAATTTGTATTTCTTTCTATATTAACTCGTCATTGTTCTGTATTACTTAAGAAGCTTTCGCAATACCTTCTGTGTGGGAGATGCTGGAAGAAATAGGTAGTCGGTTAGAAAATATCTGTTAGCCGAAACCACAGTCCATTTTGTGCCGATCAGTGTAGAGCAGTTTGCAAAAATTCTTTCTACAGGTAAAACTCACTAGATTTGCTCAAGTTTTAATTTCAGGGAATAACAAAGCACACGTCAATATAAAAGAAAAGTAAAGACGAGTTCGTAGATGGGCGTAATCGGACCACTGCCACCCAAACAAAACGCTGTTAAACGAAAATCTATAAAGTGCCATTACTAAGCACAAAATTAAGATATATAACTGTAATTTGGCACAGGTGATCGCAGTAGTAAAGTGTCAGGTAGTCAGACAGTAACCTCGCCTATTTCCCATATAACAGAATTTGAAATACCATCTGGTACTTTCAGTTTCAGTATGCAAATCAAGAACTAATAAATATATCTGGATAAAAATTTGCACGAACAATGCCTTTAAAGTATGCCACTTTGGGATCAACAATTGTCAAAATCAAACCGAAGCGTTTCAAACCCTTAAGTACCGAGTATTTGGACTCCAGTACATATAGTTAACTTCTTACCGAAAATACCGGTTAATGTGTTGATATATAGAGAGCGCGTTTTACTTATAACCGTGTAGATTTGTGTCTGAAAAGGATAAAATTGGGCGAAAACTTGAACTTACCCCCAAATAACTAATTTTCGAACATCCGGCAGACTACTCCGTATGATTGGTGATGGTATGTGATGAACCTTAATTACACCCTCGGTGCATTTTATTAGGCTGTGGCATGTTAGTAGTATGTGGTGTTGGCAAAAATTGATAATATCGAATCAGAACTACCCCCAACACCCATATTCTACTTATGAAATGCATGCAAAATGCATAATTTGCAAAAAAAATATATCGTATAAAACGTCAAATTTTAAAAAGCACAATCTGCATCCAACAGTGGAACATCCGCTTTCGCAATTTCATTAAAATA